CTCTGGACAGAACTACCTCAAAAGACATGAGGAACACTGTCGACTGAGGTCACCGTTCCCTAATCGTCAGCCGAACGACGTAGTCTCTGTTCTCTTTTTACGACAACAACGTCTGTCAGATAATCAAGAGCGGCCGACGTTGGTCGTAAGCATAAATAACACGTGACGTCTGGAGGAAACGCTTACAGACATGGAACTCTTCGAGTGAAGTGAAGTAAAAAAACGTGAAGTTTTCTTATTGAGTGCTGTTTCATTTTAGGATGGGCAGAATATCAAGCATAAAGATGAACGGATTAAATAAGCTGTGCTTCGTAGCTCGATAGCTCGTGTCTTACCTTAAGATTAGCAAATATTTTGACACCGATGTTCGCGCTGCTTGCATGACAGTAGGCTCAGGTAATCTTGAGGAGAGCTTGTTGTAGCAGTGAGGTAGAAAAGTCCTCTTTTGTTTGGTTACCAGACGTCGGCCCTGTCATTTCCGAGCCGGAACCCGCGAGCTTGTCATAAGGTAACCGAGACACGGCCAACGTCGGCCAGAAGGCCGACATTTAGCATGGAAGAATAATGTGTGCCGTATTTGTTGAGTTCATCAACTTGAGCCGTTTGCATAAGCACAACGTCTGTGATTTGTGCCGTCGGCTGTATTCGCAGCTGTTCAGCATTTTTGCTATAAGGCAGTGGTTACTATATCGCAGAAGGAAATATTCCTCTCCGGCAGCAAATCTGTCTCTATCTTGTTCCTCCGTGTCGCATGCTCCTGGTCAACGTTTGCCATGCTTCGGCTCCGACAGGTTCAGTTCACAGGCAGGAGTAAATGCTTAATGCTTAACCAGTCAGTCTAACAGATCCACCCTCATGTTCTTAATCCTCACATCTACCGAAGTCACATGTGACCAGAAGATAGTCCAGTCATTCCTTATGTGATGTTGCCATTTAGCGTTTATTACGCGTCTTCATCCTCGGTGTTTCTTATCCTCGAAGCAAGTCGGAAGGACAAGAAATCGTCAGCGGCGCAACACCGTAGCTTCAAGATTTTACCGACGATTCACGATCAGCATGGCGAGGTCCAAGTGACAACGCCGGTCGCATGACCAGTTTGCCGTTAGACCGTATCGCAGACCGGTAATAAACGAACAGGAATGCGAAGCGGTGCAAAGAATTTTCTACCCGTTGCAAAGGATTCGATTACGAGTGCGGAACGAAAGTAAATAAGACAAATGGCACAAGTACACAGGTCACCGTTTCGTAAGGTTCACTGACGTCACTTGGCTTCGAGTGCAACGGCGGTTGCCGGTCGGCGTAACCGACGGAGTGATCAAGGGATCATCGATTGCCTGGGTCCACTGATTGGGGTCTTGGAAAACCAAAAGTGCTCCAAAAGCCCTAACAACTGTATCGCATCCGGAACGGAGGCTGAAGGGCCACCCGTGTCTAAGAGTTTCGTCACGGAGGCAAGCGAAATCGAACTAAGAAAGTTGCACGACGAATGTCGCGCTGTGGTCGGTCTTATACGCTGGCAATAGCCAGCCTGATCGCCGAACACCGGCACGTCGAGAATAGCACGGCTTCGGGGCGCCCGCAAGGCTTAGAGGCGTTTGAGTCAACAACGGAAGACGAGGTGACGACGAATCGCTAAAGGGTTCAAAAACAGTCATACGACTTCTTACCTTAACTAAAGTCGTCGATCGACTGGCAGACCCGACCACGTTCACCTCAGACCACCAGCAGGCTTTTCACCGACTGCCCTGTCCCGTGAATGAAGGACAACGGTTGCCGGCACCGCCTCTGCACCGCTACTGAACGCGATGGGATTTACTACGAAGCGGAGGTACACTACGAAGCGAAGCCACCGCTGCCGCCGCCGCCGCCGCCACCGCCTCACCGATACTCACTCGGCACACAGTTGTTCGAAGGATCTATTTTAAACGCCTCATCGTCAGGGCAGACGACGACGCACGCCACGCAACTGGGTTGATGCCGATGCCGATGCCGATGCCGATGCCGGTGCTGGTGCTGGTGCCGATGCCGGGCTCAGAGCTATCATCACCAGCTGTTGTCGGTGGCGGCCACGCCGGTGGCTCATGCTATGGTATCGGTTGGTTTGTCGATTGCCGTCCGTTCATCGATAGTCGATTTCCACGACTGCGTGGAAAAATCCAGGATTTACGATCAAGATTAAGGTGATAGAGCGGGGTTAGGGGGAGGACGAGGGAGGATGGCAACGAGTTTCGTTTCGAGAGCCGACCCGAGATCAGACGAGCCCTTCCTCAGCTCTAACTCAACCGTTTCCGACGAACTCAGATTAGGTGCGGAAAAAAATCAAAACCGTCTTAAGTCATCATCGAGTGTTTGCTACGTCGATGTTCGTTTGTGCCACGTGACGACGATTCGCTGAATCCGTGCCACTCTTCGGGTTGGCTGAGATTACCGTTAGCCAACGCACTGTTTGGCAGCTGTTCACTTACCCGTTAACGAACTCGGCCCGACGAACATCGTTCTCAACGTGTTAGATTCCAACGCCAAACTTTTTGCCAGTGCATTGCAACATGATTACCTCGAAGTATAATCCTCCAAAACCAATCCACTCCAATCCAAAGCATGGCAGACAGCAACAACCAAAAACCAAAACACGAGACCGCAACTCCTGACGATCTGTGATGGTTGCCACTTTTTTCGCCCGTCGCTGTCGATCGTCGTTAAAACGTTCAATTAACCCCAAACACTAGGTTTAGGAGGTGTTTGGAGGAAGACTGACAAACCTCTCTAACGCTGATATGAACTGAGACGTGCTGATAAGAGGTCGACTTGGAATTCTGGAGGTAGCGGAATCGAATCCTCAAAAGCAAAACAAATTAACGGCCAATTCAATTGAGCATGGACTTTCTCTCCATGGTGTTTGCCTCAGATATGCGGAACCTGTGTATATACATTAAAATGCGAATTTGTGTGTCAGCGTCAGACTAGTTGTGGCTCCTAGCATTAGACACTATCGTTGTACTGTTCTACAGTTCTTCTGCGATCATTCCAGAACACAGTGCCATCAAGTCAACGACTTGCTAACCGCTGGTGGAGAAATGGTACAATGGTGGCGGCGAGGAGGTCGCGCTCGAACTTCGGAGGTGTCAGGATCGACCCCCGGACAAGACGATACTTGCCTTAACCACTAATTCACGTGACTTATAACCAACTGAGAGGGGGGTTGTGGTCGATGAATTGTGTACGACTGAGACCTCGTGGTTCTGACGTGGTCAAGCCACCGTGGGCGAGAGCAACAGCCATTCTGCCTGATGCGAGGGCTTTTTATAAATGCACTTCGCATTGACCCACCCACTTGTTCACTATGATAGATTAGTACAAGAGGCAACCCTAAAATCTACAGCACCGCACATCCATCATGTACTGCGAAAGAAATCAGGAGTCGACTGAAGTCTAAACAAGCACGACCATTCGGTTATGCAAGCGCAGCATGTAAGTGCTTATGAGTGCTATTGTTAGCGGATTTCATACGGCGCTGGTATGCCTTGTCGTTAATA